TTCCCATTACAGTTCCAGGACTGGAAGTCTCTTGTTCTCAATACAGTTCCAGCACTGGAAGTCTCTTGTTCTCAATACAGTTCCAGCACTGGAAATCTCTTGTTCCCATTACAGTTCCAGGACTGGAAGTCTCTTGTTCTCAATACAGTTCCAGCACTGGAAGTCTCTTGTTCTCAATACAGTTCCAGCACTGGAAATCTCTTGTTCCCATTACAGTTCCAGGACTGGAAGTCTCTTGTTCTCAATACAGTTCCAGCACTGGAATTCTCTTGTCCACACCATCGTTCCAGTATCAAGAAACATATACTAACCTCCACAACTGTACATTGAGTAAATATGTGCTCGAATCACAATAATTCCCCCCCCCCCCCCTAAAAAAATACATACGTGTGCACATTCATGTATTTTCGTGATTTTGTTTTACTGTATTATAAAAAAAATTATGTAGTGTGCTTAAACTGTGTATTTTATTTTGTGTGTATTTATTGCTAGGAGATATATTTGTGAGTATATTAATGCATGTGTGTATATTAAATATACTCCGTCTGTCATATCTTGCCTGTCCCTTTGTATACTGTCCCACCATCACAGTTGGCATCTCCGTCTGTCCCATCCCCTTTCCTTTTGGCATCCACACTGGCTGATGATGGGAAAGAATGTGGAATGGTCCAAGACTCCATCACCATGAATAAGGAGCTCTCATTCCTGTTCTTCCTCTTCCTTCTCTCTACATTCTTCCTTCTCTATAGTGCCTTGTCCTTCAATTCCCATCCCTCTCTCACCCCTCTCTGTTAAGCTCCTCTCTACCTATCTCTCTTCTTAACCTCTCTCCCTCCCTCTTTCTCCCTCTTCATTACTTCTCTCCTTCTCTCTCCCTCTCTCTCTACCTCCTCCTCCTCTCCCCAGCCACGCCTAGCCGGCTCCCAGCAGCTGTGAATGACCTGATTCAGCCTGAGTGAGTCTCGCTCCTAGGAGAGGAAATTACTGCGGCAGGATATGAAGGAACTCACCCAGAGACGCTCATCTCACACGCCCTCAGCATCCAGTAGAGGAAGCATCCTCCGGGAATTAGGCAATAGGATCCAGGGGAAATAGGATCCAGAGGCAATAGGATCCAGAGACAATAGGATCCAGGGGAAATAGGATTCAGGGGAAATAGGATCCAGAGGCAATAGGATCCAGAGACAATAGGCTCCAGAGGAAATAGGATCAAGAGGCAATAGGATCCAGGGGAAATAGGATCCAGAGGCAATAGGCTCCAAAGGCAATAGGATCCAGAGACAATAGGATCCAGGGAAATAGGATCCAGGGGAAATAGGATCCAGAGGAAATAGGATCCAGAGACAATAGGATCCAGGGAAATAGGATCCAGGGGAAATAGGATCCAGAGGAAATAGGATCCAGAGGCAATAGGATCCAGGGGAAATAGGATCCAGAGGCAATAGGCTCCAAAGGCAATAGGATCCAGAGACAATAGGATCCAGGGGAAATAGGATCCAGGGGAAATAGGATCCAGAGGAAATAGGATCCAGAGGCAATAGGATCCAGGGGAAATAGGATCCAGAGGCAATAGGCTCCAGAGGAAATAGGATCAAGAGGCAATAGGATCCAGGGGAAATAGGATCCAGGGGAAATAGGATCCAGAGGCAATAGGATCCAGAGACAATAGGATCCAGGGGAAATAGGATTCAGGGGAAATAGGATCCAGAGGCAATAGGATCCAGAGACAATAGGCTCCAGAGGAAATAGGATCAAGAGGCAATAGGATCCAGGGGAAATAGGATCCAGAGGCAATAGGCTCCAAAGGCAATAGGATCCAGAGACAATAGGATCCAGGGGAAATAGGATCCAGGGGAAATAGGATCCAGAGGAAATAGGATCCAGAGACAATAGGATCCAGGGGAAATAGGATCCAGGGGAAATAGGATCCAGAGGAAATAGGATCCAGAGGCAATAGGATCCAGGGGAAATAGGATCCAGAGGCAATAGGCTCCAAAGGCAATAGGATCCAGAGACAATAGGATCCAGGGGAAATAGGATCCAGGGGAAATAGGATCCAGAGGAAATAGGATCCAGAGGCAATAGGATCCAGGGGAAATAGGATCCAGAGGCAATAGGCTCCAGAGGAAATAGGATCAAGAGGCAATAGGATCCAGGGGAAATAGGATCCAGGGGAAATAGGATCCAGAGGCAATAGGATCCAGAGACAATAGGATCCAGGGGAAATAGGATTCAGGGGAAATAGGATCCAGAGGCAATAGGATCCAGAGACAATAGGCTCCAGAGGAAATAGGATCAAGAGGCAATAGGATCCAGGGGAAATAGGATCCAGAGGCAATAGGCTCCAAAGGCAATAGGATCCAGAGACAATAGGATCCAGGGGAAATAGGATCCAGGGAAATAGGATCCAGAGGAAATAGGATCCAGAGACAATAGGATCCAGGGGAAATAGGATCCAGGGGAAATAGGATCCAGAGGAAATAGGATCCAGAGGCAATAGGATCCAGGGGAAATAGGATCCAGAGGCAATAGGCTCCAAAGGCAATAGGATCCAGAGACAATAGGATCCAGGGGAAATAGGATCCAGGGGAAATAGGATCCAGAGGAAATAGGATCCAGAGGCAATAGGATCCAGGGGAAATAGGATCCAGAGGCAATAGGCTCCAGAGGAAATAGGATCAAGAGGCAATAGGATCCAGGGGAAATAGGATCCAGGGGAAATAGGATCCAGAGGCAATAGGATCCAGAGACAATAGGATCCAGGGGAAATAGGATCCAGGGGAAATAGGATCCAGAGGAAATAGGATCCAGAGGCAATAGGATCCAGGGGAAATAGGATCCAGAGGCAATAGGATCCAGGGGAAATAGGATCCAGAGGCAATAGGCTCCAGAGGAAATAGGATCAAGAGGCAATAGGATCCAGGGGAAATAGGATCCAGGGGAAATAGGATCCAGAGGCAATAGGATCCAGAGGCAATAGGATCCAGAGGAAATAGGATCAAGAGGCAATAGGATCCAGGGGAAATAGGATCCAGGGGAAATAGTATTTAGGGGAAATAGGATCCAGAGGCAATAGGCTCCAGAGGCAATAGGATCCAGGGGAAATAGGATTTAGGGAAAATAGGATCCAGAGGCAATAGGCTCCAGGGGAAATAGGATCCAGGGGAAATAGGATCCAGAGGCAATAGGATCCAGAGGCAATAGGCTCCAGAGGAAATAGGATCAAGAGGCAATAGGATCCAGGGGAAATAGGATCCAGGGGAAATAGGATCCAGAGGCAATACGATCCAGAGACAATAGGATCCAGGGGAAATAGGATTTAGGGGAAATAGGATCCAGAGGCAATAGGCTCCAGAGGCAATAGGATCCAGGGGAAATAGGATCCAGGGGAAATAGGATCCAGAGGGAATTAGGTGGTAAGCTCCAAAGGGTTCTGAATCCTTCTGACACTAAGTAGAAGGATCCAGAGTGGTTCTGAACCCTTCTAACATAAGATTGAAAGGCTCCAACAAGGGTTGCAGGTACAAACAAGATGGTAGTTGACATAAACAAACCAACTCTTGGCTTGCATCAGCTCACCTCGACATGTGGCCTACAGATGGCGTGCAGGTCGCAGGTTATTACAAGTTGAAATTAGTTCGTCTTAAAAGTATTGTCTTGAAGATTAAGGGCCAGAGGGGGGGGGTATGAATGGTGGTGGTGGGGGGGTGATGAATAGGGTAGGGACAGTGAGGGAAAAGGGGGGGAAGGGGGAAGTGTAGGGGTGCTAGGTAAAATAGGGGAAAGGGGGGGGGTAGGAGCTTGTTTAAGTAGGGGGGAAATAATGAGGGTGTGTGAGGTTTTTTTAAGGCAATTTTGAGGAAGTGCTAAACCAGTTTGGCTTTATAGTACTTGGAAGGGATATGCGACAGACTAAGAACTGGGATATGAGACAGACTAAGAGCTGGGATATGTGACAGCCATTACGACTATATAGCACTGGGAAGGGGTCAGGATAACAATTTGGGATGGGACGGTGGGAAGGGAATGGTGATCAATCACTTGGTGGACGGTCGGGGATTGAACGCCGACCTGCAGGAAGCAAGACCGTCGCTCAAACTTCAAGATGAATTCGACTTCGAGCATATAACTGTTCGATGTTCCTCCATTGATCAAGAGGACACACACACACACACACACACACAACACACACACACACACACACACACACACACACACACACACACACACACACACACACACACACACACACACACACACACACACACTCACACACACACACACACACACATAACACTCACACACACACAACCACACACACACACAACACTCACACACACACACACACACACACACACACACACACAACCACACACACACACAACACTCACACACACACACACACACACACACACACACAACACACAACACACACACACACATACACACACACACACACACACACACACACACACACACACACACACACACACACACACACACACACACACATAACACTCACACACACACAACCACACACACACACAACACTCACACACACACACACACACACACACACACACACACACACACACACACACACACACACACACACACACACACACACACACACACACACACACACACACACACACACACACACACACACACACACACACACACACACACACACACACACACACACACACATACACACACACACACACACACAAACAAACACACACACACACACACACACACACACACACACACACACACACACACACACACACACACACACACAAGCAGTCTGACACCGTGCCAAACGTATACACACCAGCCTTGAAATATTGCATACTCCAACTTTCATACATGCATGTATTACACACACGCATACATTAAAATATACTTTGTCACCTATTACAAGAATATACGTTTGAAGTTAAGCATTAATGACATTATATTTATTAATGACACTAATTAAGGATTTATTAAAAAAGTTAAGGCATAGTGTATATTAGTATATTGTATATTGTGAAGTCCGAACACAATATGTTGTTTGTCTTGCTGTGTTGCTGTGGTCTCTTGTGTTGCTGTGATCTCTTGTGTTGCTGTGATCTCTTGTGTTGCTGTGACCTCTTGTGTTGCTGTGACCTCTTGTGTTGCTGTGATCTCTTGTGTTGCTGTGATCTCTTGTGTTGCTGTGACCTCTTGTGTTGCTGTGGTCTCTTGTGTTGCTGTGGTCTCTTGTGTTGCTGTGACCTCTTGTGTTGCTGTGGTCTCTTGTGTTGCTGTGGTCTCTTGTGTTGCTGTGATCTCTTGTGTTGCTGTGATCTCTTGTGTTGCTGTGACCTCTTGTGTTGCTGTGACCTCTTGTGTTGCTGTGATCTCTTGTGTTGCTGTGATCTCTTGTGTTGCTGTGATCTCTTGTGTTGCTGTGACCTCTTGTGTTGCTGTGGTCTCTTGTGTTGCTGTGGTCTCTTGTGTTGCTGTGACCTCTTGTGTTGCTGTGGTCTCTTGTGTTGCTGTGACCTCTTGTGTTGCTGTGACCTCTTGTGTTGCTGTGATCTCTTGTGTTGCTGTGATCTCTTGTGTTGCTGTGACCTCTTGTGTTGCTGTGACCTCTTGTGTTGCTGTGATCTCTTGTGTTGCTGTGATCTCTTGTGTTGCTGTGATCTCTTGTGTTGCTGTGATCTCTTGTGTTGCTGTGATCTCTTGTGTTGCTGTGATCCCTTGTGTTGCTGTGATCCCTTGTGTTGCTGTGATCTCTTGTGTTGCTGTGATCCCTTGTGTTGCTGTGATCTCTTGTGTTGCTGTGATCTCTTGTGTTGCTGTGATCCCTTGTGTTGCTGTGATCTCTTGTGTTGCTGTGATCTCTTGTGTTGCTGTGATCTCTTGTGTTGCTGTGATCCCTTGTGTTGCTGTGATCTCTTGTGTTGCTGTGATCTCTTGTGTTGCTGTGATCCCTTGTGTTGCTGTGATCCCTTGTGTTGCTGTGATCTCTTGTGTTGCTGTGATCTCTTGTGTTGCTGTGATCCCTTGTGTTGCTGTGATCTCTTGTGTTGCTGTGATCTCTTGTGTTGCTGTGATCCCTTGTGTTGCTGTGATCTCTTGTGTTGCTGTGATCTCTTGTGTTGCTGTGATCTCTTGTGTTGCTGTGATCCCTTGTGTTGCTGTGATCTCTTGTGTTGCTGTGATCTCTTGTGTTGCTGTGATCTCTTGTGTTGCTGTGATCTCTCGTGTTGCTGTGATCTCTTGTGTTGCTGTGATCCCTTGTGTTGCTGTGATCTCTTGTGTTGCTGTGATCTCTTGTGTTGCTGTGATCTCTTGTGTTGCTGTGTTGAAGCAACACAGCACCCCCCTCTCCCCCCATAACCCCCCCTACATCCCCCCCCCACATCCCCCTCTCCCCCCCATAACCCCCCTACATCCCCCCTGCCCCCCCCCCCTGCCCCCCCCCCTGCCCCCCCCCCCGTAAAGGCATGACACCATCTCTGAACATGTTCAGAAGTTCACTCTGCCCTCAAGGTGATAAAGATGGTCTGAACTTAGCCCAAGATGCTCTGTAACTTAACAAGTTTGCGTCCTCGTAATCTGGTCGGTCTTAAGTTCCTCCCTCTCACGCCTCTCTCCCCTAAGTCACACCAAACTTTCTACAACTTACTGACCCTTTAATTTCTTTGAAGACGAATGAGGGTGGCAGTGTGGTGGAGCTATATGATATATATATATATATATATATATATATATATATATATATATATATATATATATATATATAACTGAAAACTCACACCCCAGAAGTGACTCGAACCCATACTGCCAGGAGCACTTCTACAACTGATGTACAGGATGCCTTAACCACTCGACCATCACGACCGGACAAAAGAGGATGGTAGCCGAGGCTAATTCCCCATCCGAGTGCCGGCGGGAGGATGGGGAATGGCGGGAGGATTTTTTTTATATAACGAAAATCACACTGCCTATTAGGCAAATCGGGCCTTGCATACTAGGCTGAGTAGTGCGTTCAGGCTATTAGTTACGACATTTTAGTCGCTGAAAATGTTGACATGCTCAAGGAAACGCATCTCTCAACGTCACGTCATAATATGATGTTCATATTTAACTTTGGAGAGTTAATTTTTCACATTCCTTGTCAAGTGAAGCAAAAGGAGATAAATATATAGAGACGATTCATGCCAGAATTATGTCTCCCTAGGAGTTGTCAAGACACCACAGGCGAAAGTTACAAGGTTTTCCACCAACTGAGTTTTTGGAATTGATCCTTGACGGAATTAGACCCTTCTTTAGGGCGTCCGTCCGGTGGTGCGGTGAAGATGAAGGAGGAGCCAGACCTCTCACAATGGTCAACACACTTAAGTGTCTCGTTGTTAGCTGGGCTGTCTCAACCACCCTGATGCTTGCTGCAGCCGTCCTTCGACTCCTCCAGCCTTTGATCCTTATAGATCACCTGCGTTTGGTTGTTGCTGGCGACAGTGAGGCAACAGTTCATGAAGCCCCAATCTCTCCTCTCGAATATTTGCTTCATAGCATTTTAACGTCAAAATCAACAACGGACCAAATATGATGTACTATAAATCGTAGCTACTGGTCAAAGTTCACGTTTTCGATACGTGTCATCAGTTTGGTTAGGTTAGGGCAATTTAGTACATCATTTTCTGCCCGTTGTGACCCCTGGAGAGGGCGGGCTGGTGGCAGGGGCCTGTACTAATCACCTCCCGGAAATTACAGTAGTTTGACCAGGGAAGTCAGTCCCTGGTGATGGCCCCAGGGACACCCGTGTCCTCGCCAGGGGATCCTACATCATGGTGAAACCTAAGGAAAAGGAGTTAAGACTCACCTTAAATCCTTCAAAGGGGAAATCAAATCGTCTTAGATGCTATAAGATCCGTCTCACCAATAGCCTTGATGATTGACCTCACTAACAGTGTGCTGCTGACCCCACTGACCTTTGACCTTGAATGCCATCTTAGCGGATGGAAGGGAGAATAGGTCTTTTGCATGTTCACGATCCTCCCTTTTCCTCACAAGGTGCCTGACTTTGCCCAGGCTGACCTATTTCCTAAGGTCCATTTGTTACATAAACCAAAATTAACTATACGTGACAGACTCTTAAAATCAGTAGGCATGAAAGTGTTAAACCTCTCTCTGGAAGATGACCAGTGGGACCAAGCAACTCTTCCATTTAGACTCGGGGGGATAGGTATTCGCAAGGGGCCAGGATAAGGATTTGGGATGGGACAGGGGTGGGTGGGAGGGACGAAATGCTGCCCAACCATTTGGACGGTCGGGGATTGAACGCCGACCTGCATGAAGCGAGACCGTCGCTCTACCGTCTAACCCAAGTGGTTGGGTTGATAGAGTTACCGGTATTCTTATTCTCGTCCATTGTTGCAAGGGAATTAGCGAGAGAGATCCTATCAGAACACATTAGTGAGAGAGAGATCCTATCAGAACACATTAGTGAGAGAGAGATCCTATCAGAGCACACAAGAGACTCTATAGGTATTCATGATCCCAAATTCACTGAAGGAGCCAGCCAGTGGGACACTCTTGCAAGATTTTCACCTTAACTTCTCCAGACGGCTGCCAACACCCCGCATGGGCTAACCACATAGTGGAGAACACATAACACCCCTTCCTCGCTGTACAAGCTCCCCATGATGGGGACTTTCTGTTGGCTGTCCCTAATACCACCTTGGGCATCCGCCTGGACCCTCGGGCGCTGAGTCCTGCTGTTCCACACACCAATATAGCAGCCATGGTCTCGTCTGTCGTAGGTCACAGGAAAAGATCGACTTGAATGAAATAACCTGAAATACACTGCATTAATTTAAACAAAATAATTGTATGCAGGTCCCAATATTTAATGAAGAAATGTCACATAACTAATGTATTTAAAGGCCATTTAGTTGTCTAAAGCAACAGTTAAAATCTTGAAAGAATATAGATAATGATGAAGTTAGCGGAAACCGCTAGATCATATCTATCACAAGTTAGCGGATGCCGCTAGACCATATCTATCACAAGTTAGCGGAAGCCGCTAGACCACATCTATCACAAGTTAGCGGAAGCCGCTACACCACATCTATCACAAGTTAGCGGAAGCCGCTAGACCACATCTATCACAAGTTAGCGGAAGCCGTTAGACCACATCTATCACAAGTTAGCGGAAGCCGCTAGCCTCGCAGCTTTAACAAATTAAACCCCTAGGCCACATCCGCTCAAGTTAGCGAAGTTAAGCTTAGCAAATCCAGCATAATGTCTCAGCCTCTCAAGCTTCAAGTTTGTGAAGCTTGGCCTTACCACAGGAGACGCATACCGCTTCCAACTTGTTGCTTTGTGAATCTTTTGTTCAAAGAGATTATTTGTGAGAAATTCGTCCTTGGATCAGGCTAGAGAGACAGCTTCACCATGGGACATAGTGTGGGGGGGGGGTATACTCTGGATTATAGTATACCTTGGAACATAGTGTGGGGGGGGTATACTCTGGATTATAGTATACCTTGGAACATAGTGTGGGGGGGTATACTCTGGATTATAGTATACCTTGGAACATAGTGTGGGGGGGTATACTCTGGATTATAGTATACCTTGGGACATAGTGTGGGGGGGTATACTCTGGATTATAGTATACCTTGGGACATAGTGTGGGGGGTATACTCTGGATTATAGTATACCATGGGACATAGTGTGGGGGGGTATACTCTGGATTATAGTATACCTTGGAACATAGTGTGGGGGGGTATACTCTGGATTATAGTATACCTTGGAACATAGTGTGGGGGGTATACTCTGGATTATAGTATACCTTGGAACATAGTGTGGGGGGTATACTCTGGATTATAGTATACCTTGGAACATAGTGTGGGGGGTATACTCTGGATTATAGTATACCTTGGAACATAGTGTGGAGGTATACTCTGGATTATAGTATACCTTGGGACATAGTGTGGGGGGGTATACTCTGGATTATAGTATACCTTGGAACATAGTGTGGGGGGGTATACTCTGGATTATAGTATACCTTGGAACATAGTGTGGGGGTATACTCTGGATTATAGTATACCTTGGAACATAGTGTGGGGGGGTATACTCTGGATTATAGTATACCTTGGAACATAGTGTGGGGGGTATACTCTGGATTATAGTATACCTTGGAACATAGTGTGGAGGTATACTCTGGATTATAGTATACCTTGGGACATAGTGTGGGGGGGTATACTCTGGATTATAGTATACCTTGGAACATAGTGTGGGGGGGTATACTCTGGATTATAGTATACCTTGGAACATAGTGTGGGGGGGTATACTCTGGATTATAGTATACCTTGGGACATAGTGTGGGGGGGGGGTATACTCTGGATTATAGTATACCTTGGAACATAGTGTGGGGGGTATACTCTGGATTATAGTATACCTTGGAACATAGTGTGGGGGGGTATACTCTGGATTATAGTATACCTTGGGACATAGTGTGGAGGTATACTCTGGATTATAGTATACCTTGGAACATAGTGTGGGGGGTATACTCTGGATTATAGTATACCTTGGAACATAGTGTGGGGGGGTATACTCTGGATTATAGTATACCTTGGAACATAGTGTGGGGGGTATACTCTGGATTATAGTATACCTTGGAACATAGTGTGGGGGGTATACTCTGGATTATAGTATACCTTGGAACATAGTGTGGGGGGTATACTCTGGATTATAGTATACCATGGGACATAGTGTGGGGGGGGATACTCTGGATTATAGTATACCTTGGAACATAGTGTGGGGGGTATACTCTGGATTATAGTATACCTTGGAACATAGTGTGGGGGGTATACTCTGGATTATAGTATACCATGGGACATAGTGTGGGGGTATACTCTGGATTATAGTATACCTTGGAACATAGTGTGGGGGGTATACTCTGGATTATAGTATACCTTGGGACATAGTGTGGAGGTATACTCTGGATTATAGTATACCTTGGAACATAGTGTGGAGGTATACTCTGGATTATAGTATACCTTGGGACATAGTGTGGGGGGTATACTCTGGATTATAGTATACCATGGGACATAGTGTGGAGGTATACTCTGGATTATAGTATACCTTGGAACATAGTGTGGGGGGGTATACTCTGGATTATAGTATACCTTGGAACATAGTGTGGGGGGTATACTCTGGATTATAGTATACCATGGGACATAGTGTGGGGGGTATACTCTGGATTATAGTATACCTTGGGACATAGTGTGGGGGGGTATACTCTGGATTATAGTATACCTTGGAACATAGTGTGGGGGGGGTATACTCTGGATTATAGTATACCTTGGGACATAGTGTGGGGGTATACTCTGGATTATAGTATACCATGGGACATAGTGTGGGGGGGTATACTCTGGATTATAGTATACCTTGGAACATAGTGTGGGGGGGTATACTCTGGATTATAGTATACCTTGGAACATAGTGTGGGGGTATACTCTGGATTATAGTATACCATGGGACATAGTGTGGGGGTATACTCTGGATTATAGTATACCTTGGAACATAGTGTGGGGGGTATACTCTGGATTATAGTATACCTTGGAACATAGTGTGGGGGGGTATACTCTGGATTATAGTATACCATGGGACATAGTGTGGGGGGGGGTATACTCTGGATTATAGTATACCATGGGACATAGTGTGGGGGGGTATACTCTGGATTATAGTATACCTTGGGACATAGTGTGGGGGGTATACTCTGGATTATAGTATACCATGGGACATAGTGTGGGGGGGTATACTCTGGATTATAGTATACCTTGGAACATAGTGTGGGGGGTATACTCTGGATTATAGTATACCTTGGAACATAGTGTGGAGGTATACCCTGGATCAGTGTAGAGGTATACTTTGGAACCTAGTGTAGGGAGGTATATCTTGGAACATAGTGTTGGAGGTATACCCTAGATCATTATAGTCTGAGGGATCTACCACATGGCCTGGTCGGTAGAACGCGGACCTCACTTCTTGCAGGGTCGGCGTTCGATCCCCCAACGCTCCAAGAGATTAGACAGTTAAGTAGAACATAGCCATTTCTCCTGATAATTACCTTACCATATCGTAGTATAACGATATGCTACAGAGCACAATGGTATGATGGTGTGAGAGATCTACTGTGGAGCATATTGAGCATATTGAGCATATTGAGCATATTTCTGCAGCTAAGATTAATTGCGATATAGAATCGACTTGAGAATGGTCCAGGGCGGACCGAAACGTCGTCGTCCCTTCAACTTCTAGTGTGTGGTCTGGTCAACACTGCGATACAGACTGTACTTCCCACCAAACACACACCGAAACTACGACGTTGATACAACGTTCGAACAAGTTTTAACACTTCCTAACCAGTTATAACAACCAATATAGCAAGTTGTAACAACGTTCTAATACGTGATAAACACGTTAAGCCAAGATGTAACAACGTTATTACAAGTTGTAACAAGCGGAAAATAGAGACAGTTTCAGTTTGTGTTTCCAGGGTTTGGGTCGTTGGGGAAAATTGGGCTCATATTTCTTGGGTAAATTTCTTTTCTTGTTTCTAATTTGGTTCATCGCTGATGAGTTGACAAATGGGTGGGATGGTTGTGAGCGGGGAACTGTGGGGGAGTTGGGGGCTTATAAGTGAAGGATTTGGTGGATTTTTATGTTGCGGTCACGTTGTTTAAATGTTGGTTTTTTGTTATCTCTCTCTCTGTTTCTCTTTCTTTCTGTCTCTCATTCTGTCTCTGTGTCTGTCTGTCTGTCTGTCTGTCTGTCTGTCTCTCTCTCTCTCTCTCTGTCTGTCTGTCTCTCTCTCTCTCTCTCTCTCTCTCTCTCTCTCTCTCTCTCTCTCTCTCTCTCTCTCTCTCTCTCTCTCCTCTCTCTCTCTCTCTCTCTCTCTCTCTCT